ACAATGAAAATACTACCCCCCTCATTTTTACAATACACCCCCCTATTATTACAATTAATTACTACCCCCCTTCTAACAAGAATACTCCCTCATCTAGGTTACAAAAAAACTTCCCCCCCTATCTGGGGTTTCAAAGAACACTACCCCCTATTTTTTACCAAAAGAACTACTACCCCTTATCTAGTTAAAATGACTACTACCCCTCTATTAGGTTTCGACACACCCCTCTATCTGGGTACAATAAAATACACCCCCATTTACCCCTGATCCTCCCCCAACTTAAACCCCCCCCTCTCCCGTATCTTTCCCCCCCCTAACCTTAACCCCCTCTCTCCCTGTTCCCTTTCCCCCCTCCTAACCTTAACCCCCTCTCTCCCTGTATCCCCCTCCTAACCTTAACCCCTTCTTCCTGTACCCCCCCCCTAACCTTAAACCCCCCTCTCCCCGTTCTCACCCCCCCTAAAACCTTTAAACCCCCTTTCTCCCGGTTTCTCACCCCCCTAACCTTTAACCCCCCCCTCCCCGTATCTCCCCCTCCACCTGAACCCCCCCCTTTCCCCGACCCCCCCTACCAAACCCCCCCCCCGGGCCACCCCCAAACCAACCCCCCCCCCACCCCCCCCCCCCCAAAACCAACCCCTCTCTCCCGGGGCCCCCCCAACCAACCCCCCCCCCTGTTTCCCCTCCACCTTTAACCCCCTCCCCTGTTCTCCCCCCCCCTAACCCAACCCCTCCCCCTGTATCCCCCCCTAACCTTTAAACCCCCCCTCTCCCGGATCCCCCCCCCAACCTGAACCCTTCCTCCCTTTTTCACCCCCCCAAACCTTTAATTCCTTTGTACCCCCCCCCTATTTAAAAAAATCCTGGGGACCCCCCCTAACCTTAAAATCCTCCCGGGACCCCCCCCCTAACCTTAAATCTTCCCCCTTACCCCCCAAAAAAGAAATCCCCTTTGGGTGAAAACCCCCCAACCACCCCCCCCATTCCCCCCCAAACCCCACCCCCCCCCGGGCCCCCCCCAAAAACCCCCCCGCCCGACCCCCCAAAACCTAACCCCCCCCCCCTGATCCCCCCAAAAAAAAATTTTTTTTATTTTTTGAAAAATTTTGTTCCCCCCAAAATCTCTGTTTCCCCCAACCTTTAACCCCCCCCGGGCCCCCCCCAACCGAAAACCCCCCCCCTGTATTCCCCCCCCAAACCCAAAACCCCCCCCGTACCCCCCCCAAAATTTAACCCCCCCCCGACCCCCCCCAAAATTAAAATTTTCCCCCTTTTTTAAAATTAACCCCCCCTTTCCCTGTATTCCCCCCAACCGACCCTTTCCCTTCTCCCCTTTTACCCCCCCTTCCCTCCCAACTTAAACCCCTTTTCCCCCCTTATCTCCCCCCCCAACCTTAACCCCCCTCTCCCTGTATCTTTCCCCCCCCAACCTTCCCCCCCCCCTCCCTGTCCCCCCCCCCCCCCAACCTTAAACCCCCCCCCCCTTCCCTGTATCTCTCCCCTCCAAAAACCTTTAACCCCCCCTTTTCCCCGACCCCCCCCCCCCTCCCCCCCTTAACCCCCTCCCCCCTTTCCTAACTTAACCCCTTTTTCCCTGTACCCCCTCCTCCTTAACCCCCCTCTTCCCCCTAAAACCCTTAAACCCCTTTCCCCTGTACCTCCCTCCTACCCTTTACCCCCTGCCCCTTCTCACCCTCCTAAAAAAACCCCCCCCCCCCAACCCCCTTTTCCCCCCCAACCACCCCCCCCCCCTGATCCCCCCTAACCAACCCCCCCCCCTGATTTTCCCCCCAAATTAACCCCCCCCTCCCCTGTATCTCCCCCCCCTAACCTTAACCCCCTCTCTCCCCGTATCCCCCCCAACCTTAACCCCCTCCCCCCCTTACCCCCCCCCCCCCTTAAAACCCCCCCTTAAACTCCCTCCCCCAACCTTAACCCCCCCCTCCCCTGTACCCCCCCTAACTTAACCCCTCTCTCCCGACCCCCCCTCCTAAACCTTCAACCCCCCCCCCTCCCATCTCCCCCTCCAACCACCCCCTCTTCCCTGTACCCCCCCCTAAATTAACCCCCCCTTCCCCCGTACCCCCCCCCCCCCCTAACCTTTTAACCCCCCCCTTTTTACCCCCCCAACCAAAAACCCCCCCCCCGACCCCCCCAAAAAATTAAACCCCCCCCTAAAAACCCCCCCCCCAACCAAAAAACCCCCCCCCCTGTATTCCCCTCCTAACCTAAAAACCCCCCCTTCCGTATCCCCCTCCTAACCTTAACCCCCCCCCCCTTTCCCCCCCCCTAACCCAAAACCCCCCTTTCCCTGACTAAACCCTCCTAAAACCACCCCCCCTCCCCCCCTTTTTTCCCCCCCCCCCAACCCAACCTTAACCCCTTCTCCCTTTCCCCTTTTTTCTCCCTCCTAACCTAACCTTAAACCCCCTTCCCTGTTTCCCCCTCCCAACCTAAACCCCCTCTCCCGTCCCCCCCCCCTAACCTAACCCCTTCCCCCCCCTTATCTCCCCCCTAACCCTTGTTGTCCCCCTCTCCAGAGCTGATGCAGACAGAGATGCACCATGTGCGGACCCTGCGGATCATGGTGGAGGTGTACAGTAAGGGTCTACTGAAGGAGCTGCAGCTGGATCCTCAGACAGTCGACAGGCTGTTCCCCGCCCTGGACGAGCTCCAGGGCCTCCACACCTCCCTCCTGACACGCCTCCTGGAGAGGAAGAGAGAGAGCCAGCAGGAGGGGGAGGACGGAGGGTTCATCATTAACAAGATAGGAGACATCCTGGAGACACAGGTTAGACGAGGGAGGGAGGGAGGGAGGGAGGGAGGGAGGGAGGGAGGGAACCAGCAGGAGGGGGAGGACGGAGGTTTCATCATTAACAAGATAGGAGACATCCTGGAGACACAGGTTAGACGAGGGAGGGAGGTGGAGGGAGGAGGGGAGGAGGGAGGGAGGGAACCAGCAGGAAGGGGAGGACGGAGGTTTTACCCCTCTACAACTCAAGGGCTTTTTCATCTACAGGACATGGACATATATAAATGTTTCTACACTTCACCACACTACACCACACTACACTACACCACACTACACTACACTACACTACACTACACTACACTACACTACACCACAATACACTACAACTACACTACACTACACTACACCACAATACACTACACTACACTACACCACACCACACTACACTACACTACACTACACTACACTACACTACACTACACCACAATACACTCACACAACTACACTACAACTACACTACACACACTACACTACACTACACTACACAAACACCAAACTACACTACAAACTACCTACACACCCACACCACTCACCACACTACACTACACACATACACTACCTACACCACACTAACACACTACACACCACCACTACACACACACCACACACTACACGTACACTACCACCACACACACTAACACTACCTACCACTACACTACACTACACTACCCACCACATACACTAACACCCTCACACACTACACACACTACACTACCCACTACACCTACACACTACACCTACACTACACTCACACACTACACACCACACTACACTACACTACCTACACTACAACACTTCACCACACTACACTACACTACACTACACTTCACCACACTACACTACACTACACTACCACTACACTTCACCACACTACACTACACTACACTACACACACTACACACACTACACTACACTACACTTCACACACACTACACTACACTTCACCACACTACACTACACACTTCAACCACACTACACTACACTACACTACACTACACCACACACTTCACCACACACACACACTACACTACAACGACCACACACACTACACGAAACCACACTACACTACACCACACTACACACACACACTACAACACACTACTCACTCACCACACTACACTACACTACACACCGACACGACACACACGACACTACCTACACTACACCACCACACTACACTCACACACCACTCCACCACACTACACTAACACTAACACACACACACACACTAACTACGACACCACACTTACAACTACACCACACCTACCACTTAACACTACACGACACTCACACCAAAACTTACCCACTACACTACCACACTACACCACACTACACTACACGTACCACTACTTCACCACACTACACTACACTCACCACCTCCACTACCTTCCACCACACTACACTACACTACACTACACTACACTCACCACACTACACTTCACCACACTACACCACACTACACTACACCACACTACACTACACGACACCACACTACACTACACCACACTACACTACACTACACCACACTACACTACACTACACACACTACACTACACTACACTACACTACACGACACGACACACACCACTACACTACACTACACTACACTTCACCACACTACACTAACTTCACCACACTATACCACTACACTTACACCACACTACACTAACACTACCCACACTACACTTCACCACACTACAACTTTCCCTCACCAACACACAACACCACACTACACTACACCACACACACTACACGACCACCACCTACACTACCGACACCACACTACACTACAGACTACACTACCACGACACCACACTACACTACACTACAACTATCACCACACTACACACACTACACTACACACACGCCACACTACCTACACTACCACACTACACTTCACCACACTAACACTCACACACTACACTTCACCACACAACACTACACTACACTACACTCACCCACTAACACCTACACTTCACCACACTACACACTTCACCACACGACACTACACTACCTACACTAACCACCACACTACACTACACCACACTCACACTACACGACACACACACTACACTACACACACTTCACCACACTACACTACACTCACCGACACACACTACATTCACCACACTACACACTACACTACACTACACTACACTACAACTACACTACACACACACCTCACCTAACCACTACACTACACTATCACTCACTCACCACTCACACACACTACACTACTACACTACACTACACTTCACCACACTACACTACACTACACCACTCACACTCACTACACCTACCTACACTACACTACACTACACTTCACCCATCACGACACACACACTACACTACACACACACACTACACACACTACACTACACTACACTTCACACTACACTACACTACACTACACTACACTACACTACTCACCACACTACACTACACTACAACACTCACACACACTACACTACACTTCACCACACTACACTACACTTCATCCCACACTACACTACACTACCACACTACACACACTACACACACTACACTACACCCACTACAACACACTACACTACCACCACACTACACTACACACCACAACACTACCACACACCACTCACACAACACACTACACTACACTTCCACCACACTACACTACACTACACACTACACTACACTACACTCAACTCACACGACACAACTACACTACACTACACTACACTCACTACCACTACACTACAACAAACTGCTTCACCACCTACACTACACTACACTACCTACACCACACTACAACACACTACACTCCACACACTACACTTTCACCACCTACACACACGACACTACACACACTACACTACACTCACCAACACACCACTTCACCACCTACACTACACCACATCTACTACATACCACACTACACTTCACACTACACTAACAACTTCACACATACACCACACATACCACTACACCACAACACTCACGACACCACACTACACTGAGCAGTCCTAGACAGGTTGCCTAAGCACAGGTCCACGCGGGGTAGGAGCTCCTGGAGGAGAGCATTTTCTCATACACACAGGTCCAGCTGGGTTAGGACTCCCTGGAAGACATGTTTCTCTAGAGCACAGGTCAGCTGGGGTTAGACTCCCTAGGAAGCTGTTTCTCTAGACCACAGGTCAGCTGGGTTAACTCCGGAACGGAGCATTTGTCTCTAGACACAGCCAGCGGGTTAGGACTCCTGGAAGAACATGTGATACTCAGAGCCACAGGGTCCACTGGGTTAAGCTCTGAAGGAGAGCATGTGCTCTAGAGCACAGTCCACTGGGGTAGAGCTCCTGAAGAAGAGCGTTGTCTCTAAGCCAGGGTCCCTGGTTAGAGCTCCGGAAGGAGACATGTTGTCCTCCTAGGACCAGTCCACTGGGTTAGGAGCCCGGAAGGAGAGCATGTTGTCTCAGGACACGGGTCCAGCTGGGTTAGGAAGCTCCGGAAGGAGAGCATTTGTCCAGGACCCGGTCACAGCGTTAGGACCGAGGTGAGACGTGTTGTCTCTAGGAGCACAGGGTCCAGCTGGGGTTAGGAGCTCCTGGAAGGAGAGCGTGTTGTCTCTAGGAGCACAGGGTCCAGCTGGGGTTAGGAGCTCCTGGAAGGAGAGCATGTTGTCTCAGGAGCAACAGGTCCAGCTGGGGTTAGGAGCTCCTGGAAGGAGAGCTGTTTGTCTCTAGGAGCACAGGGTCCAGCTGGGGTTAGGAGCTCCTGGAAGGAGAGCATGTTGGTCTCTAGGAGCACAGGGTCCAGCTGGGTAGAGCTCCTGGAAGGGTAGAGCGGGTTGTCTCTAGGAGCACAGGGGTCCAGCTGGGGTTAGGAGCTCCTGGAAGGAGAGCATGTTTGTCTTAGGAGCACAGGGCCAACTGGGGTTAGGAGCTCCTGGAAGGAGAGCGTGTTGTCTCTAGGAGCACAGGGTCCCAGCTGGGGTTAGGAGCTCCTGGAAGGAGAGCATGTTTGTCTCTAGGAGCACAGGGGTTGCCAGCTGGGGTTAGGAGCTCCTGGAAGGAGAGCATGTTGTCTCTAGAGCACAGGTCCAGCTGGGTGGTTAGGAGCTCCTGGAAGGAGAGCATGTTTGTCTCTAGGAGGCACAGGGTCCAGCTGGGGGTTAGAGCTCCTGGAAGGAGAGCGTGTTGTCTCTAGGAGCACAGGGTCCAGCTGGGGTTAGAGCTCCTGGAAGGAGTAGCGTGTTGTCTCTAGGAGCACAGGGTCCAGCTGGGGTTAGGAGCTCCTGGAAGGAGAGCATGTTTGTCTCTAGAGCACAGGGTCCAGCTGGGGTTAGGAGCTCCTGGAAGGAGAGCAATGTTGTCTCTAGGAGCACAGGGTCCAGCTGGGGTTAGGAGCTCCTGGAAGGAGAGCGATGTTGTCTCTAGGACACAGGGTCCAGCTGGGGTTAGGAGCTCCTGGAAGGAGAGCATGTTGTCTCTAGGAGCACAGGGTCCAGCTGGGGTTAGGAGCTCCTGGAAGGAGAGCGTGTTGTCTCTAGGAGCACAGGGTCCAGCTGGGTTAGGAGCTCCTGAAGGAGAGCGTGTTGTCTCTAGGAGCACAGGGTCCAGCTGGGGTTAGGAGCTCCTGGAAGGAGAGCATGTTGTCTCTAGGAGCACAGGGTCCAGCTGGGGTTAGGAGCTCCTGGAAGGAGAGCATGTTGTCTCTAGGAGCACAGGGTCCAGCTGGGGTTAGGAGCTCCTGGAAGGAGAGCGTGTTGTCTCTAGGAGCACAGGGTCCAGCTGGGGTTAGGAGCTCCTGGAAGGAGAGCGTGTTGTCTCTAGGAGCACAGGGTCCACTGGGGTTAGGACTCCTGGAAGAGAGCATGTTGTCTCTAGGAGCACAGGGTCCAGCTGGGGTTAGGAGCTCCTGGAGGAGAGCATGTTGTCTCTAGGAGCACAGGGTCCAGCTGGGGTTAGGAGCTCCTGGAAGGAGAGCATGTTGTCTCTAGGAGCACAGGGTCCAGCTGGGGTTAGGAGCTCCTGGAAGGAGAGCATGTTGTCTCTAGGAGCCAGGGTCCAGCTGGGTTTAGGAGCTCCTGGAAGGAGAGCGTGTTGTCTCTAGGAGCACAGGGTCCAGCTGGGTTGGAGCTCCTGGAAGGAGAGCTGTTGTCTCTAGGAGCACAGGGTCCAGCTGGGGTTAGGAGCTCCTGGAAGGAGAGCTGTGTTGTCTCTAGGAGCACAGGTCCAGCTGGGGTTAGGAGCTCCTGGAAGGAGAGCGTGTTGTCTCTAGGAGCACAGGGTCCAGCTGGGGATAGGAGCTCCTGGAAGGAGAGCATGTTGTCTCTAGGAGCACAGGGTCCAGCTGGGGTTAGGAGCTCCTGGAAGGAGAGCATGTTGTCTCTAGGAGCACAGGGTCCAGCTGGGGTTAGGACTCCTGGAAGGAGAGCATGTTGTCTCTAGGAGCACAGGTCCAGCTGGGTTAGGAGCTCCTGGAAGGAGAGCATGTTGTCTCTAGAGCACAGGGTCCAGCTGGGTTAGGAGCTCCTGAAGGAAGCATGTTGTCTCTAGGAGCACTGGTCCAGCTGGGGTTAGGAGCTCCTGGAAGGAGAGCGTGTTGTCTCTAGGAGCACAGGGTCCCAGCTGGGGTTAGGAGCTCCTGGAAGGAGAGCGTGTTGTCTCTAGGAGCACAGGGTCCAGCTGGGGTTGGAGCTCCTGGAAGGGAGCATGTGTTGTCTCTAGGAGCACAGGGTCCCAGCTGGGGATAGGAGCTCCTGGAAGAGAGCTGTTGTCTCTAGGAGCACAGGTGTCCAGCTGGGGTTAGGAGCTCCTGGAAGGAGAGCGTGTTGTCTCTAGAGCACAGGTCCAGCTGGGGTTAGGAGCTCCTGGAAGGAGAGCATGTTGTCTCTAGGACACATCCAGTGTCAGAGCTCTGTGAACACGTTTTGTCCCTGAACACAAGGTTTCCCTGTGCCCGCTTTAGGTCCTGGAAAAACATATCGACTCAAGTGAGCCTACATGTGTCTAGTTCTGGGTTAGGAGCTTCATATCAGCGCATGTTGTCTCTAGTAGCTCGGGTCCATGCGGTGATTAGAGAGCTCTGAGGAGAGTTTGTCTCTAGGCCACACGGGTCCGTGTCTAGGAGCTCACTAAAACAAGTTTCCCTCTAGTGACACTGGTCCATGCTGGTTAGCACATCCTGACAGAAGCGTTTGTCTCTAGATCACGGTCCATCTGTTAGACTCTCAAAGGAAGCTTGTTGTCTCTAATGTCACAGGTCCCCTAGTTAGTGAGCTTCCTAAGAGAAGGAGACGTTGTCTCTGGAGCCCAGGTCATCTGTTAGTACTCCGAAACCGAAGTACCCCCCCGTTGTCCAGAGACTACATCACACCGAAGGTTTGTCTCCTGTCCAGCTCTGTCCTGTCTCGATGTAGACAACACTAAGTCACAGCTGCAAAGGTTAGGTCTCCTGAAAGCTGTTGTCTTTAAACAACTCAAGTGTTCTCGTGACACCTTTCCTGAATCAAAACACTCCCTTTGTTCCTTCAAAATCTTCTGCTTTAGAATACTAAAAAGTTTGTTTGAGTTGTCGATCAATCATCACGCCGTTGTCTTGTTCCCTCTCGGTCCTGCCAGTAGACCATTACGAAGTTTTTCAGCTGCCACCGGCCGTGAACCTCTACAAGTGCTCCTCCCACCTTCCGGCCTATGTAGCACGACAATCCACCACCATTTGACTCCTTCCCATTGGCTCAGTCAACACTATCACACAATTGTCTCTAGTCTGTCCTGTCAGAAACACTTCATCAACCAATTTGTCTCCTTAGTGTCTTGATGAGACATACGTCCCAACCAAGGATTCTGTTGTCCCCAGCCGTCCCGTCTGATGGAGAAACTACTCACACCAGTTTGTCTCGTCCCCAGCCTTCCTGTCTATGTAACAACACTACACACACCGAGGTTTTTCTCCTGTCCCCAGCTCTGTCCTGTCCTGAATGTAGACAACCACTAACATCACAACACACCGAAGGTTTGTTCTCCTGTCCCCACTCTGTCCCTGTCCGTGATTGTAGAACAACACGACATCACACAAAGTTTGTCCTCCTGTCCCAGCCTCTGTCCTGTCCCTGATGTAGACAACACTACAGCCCACCAAATGGTTTTGGTCTCCTGTCCCCAGCTCTGTCCTGTCCTGATGTAAGACAACACTACATCAAACCCGAAAGGTGTGTCTCCTGTCCCCAGCCTGTCCTGTCCTGAGTAGAACAACACGACGAAATCAACACCGAAGGTTTGTCCTCCTGTCCCAGCTCTGTTCCCTGCTCCTGATGTAGACAACACTAAATCCACACACCGAAGGTTTGTCTCCTGTCCCCAGCTCTGTCCTGTCCTGATGTAAGCCAACAACTACAACATCAAACCAAAGGTTTGGTCTCCTGGTCCCCAGCCTCTGTCCCTGTCCTGATGTAGAACAACATACAGCACACCAAAGGTTTGTCTCCCTGTCCCCCAGCTTGCCTGTCCATGTAACAACACCATCCCCCGAAATGTTGTCTGTCCCCCCCGATGTAAACACTACTACAAGCATACACCAAAAGGGTTTGTCTCCTGTCCCCAGCTCTGTCCTGTCCTGATGTAGACAACACTACATCACACCGAAGGTTTGTCTCCTGTCCCCAGCTCTGTCCTGTCCTGATGTAGACCGAAAGGTTTGTCTCCTGTCCCCAGCTCTGTCCTGTCCTGGACCTCTACTGGACAGATGAGGTGGTCTCTGTAAACACACACAGACACTGGTCATGGCACGCATCAACTCCATCATCCCGGACACCCGGGACCCACTCCAATTTGAACACCTCCCTCTTCAACTGGATCCTGGACTTCCTGACGGGCCGCCCCCAGGTGGTAAGGGTAGGCAACAACACATCTGCCACACTGATCCTCAACATGGGGGCCCCTCAGGGGTGCGTGCTCAGTCCCCTCCTGTACTCCCTGTTCACCCATGACTGCGTGGCCTCGCACGACTCCAACTCCATCATCAAGTTTGCTGACGACACAACAGTGGTAGGCCTGATCACCGACAACGACGAGACAGCCTATAGGGAGGAGGTCAGAGAACTGGCAGTGTGTTGCCAGGACAACAACCTCTCCCTCAATGTCAGCAAGACCAAAGGAGCTGATGGTGGACTATCAGGAAACGGGGGGGAGCACACCCCCATCCACATCAACAGGACCACAGTGGAGAGGGTCAGGAAACAGGGGGGAGCACACCCCCATCCACATCAACAGGACCACAGGGTCAGGAAACAGGGGGGAGCACACCCCCATCCACATCAACAGGACCACAGGGTCAGGAAACAGGGGGGAGCACACCCCCATCCACATCAACAGGACCACAGTGGAGAGGGTCAGGAGCTTCAAGTTCCTCGGTGTCCACATGGACCCTCTCACACCAGGACACATGGACCCTCTCACACCAGACCACATGGACCCTCTCACACCAGGACAGAACAGCAGTTCCTCGGTGTCCACATGGACCCTCTCACACCAGAACAGAACACAACACTGAGGACTTAACATGGACCCTCTCACACCAGAACAGAACAGCCGTGAAGAAGACACGACAACACCTCTTCTCCCTCAGGAGGCTGAAACGATTTGGCATGGCCCCTCAGATCCTCGGGATCTTTTACAGATGCACCATCGAGAGCATCCTGACTGGTTGTATCAGCGTTTGGTATGGCAACTGCACCGCCCGTGACCAGAAAGCTCTACAGAGGATGGTGCGGACGGCCCAGAGCTCCCAGCCATCCAGGACGTACACGCCAGGCGGTGCCTCAGAAAGGCCTGAAAAATAGCCAAAGACTCCAACCACCCGAGACATGGACTTTCCCAATGCTCCCGTCCAGTAGGTGGTACTGGTGCATCAAGGCTCAGACAAACAGACTCCTAAACAGCTTCTATCCCCTGGATATAAGACTGTTAAATGGCTAATGACTAACAAACAGGCTCCTACTCAGCTTCTATCCCCTGGATATAAGACTGTTAAATGGCTAATGACTAACAAACAGACTCCTAAACAGCTTCTATCCCCTGAAGGAGACTGTCTGTTATACTGACCATGTGGTGGAGCTTCATCTGGAATGACACTAACCTTGTCTCTTTCTGTCATTCTTTCCTGTGTGTGTCCGTGTGTGTGTGTGTGTGCGTGTGTGTCCGTGTGTGTGTGTGTCCGTGTGTGTGTGTGTGTGTGTGTGTGTGTGTGTGTGTGTGTGTGTGTGTGTGTGTGTGTATGTGTGTCCGTGTGTGTGTCCGTGTGTGTGTGTGTGTACTTTGACCATCCCCTCTCCAGAGAATGAGGAGGACCATGAGGACCTGAGTGATGCCCTACACCAGGTCAAGGAGGTCATCACTGCAGTGGACAGCAAGGTAATATAATGATAATAATAATAATGATAATAATAATAATAATAATAATAATAATAATAATAATAATAATAATAATAGTAATAGTAATAATAATAATAATTGAATAATAATTGTCTTGTTTCTAGGTGAACTGACCTATGATAATAATTGTCTTGTTTATAGGTGAACTGACCTATGATAATAATTTTCTTGTTTCTAGGTGAACTGACCTATGATAATAATTGTCTTGTTTCTAGGTGAACTGACCTATGATAATAATTATCTTGTTTCTAGGTGAACTGACCTATGATAATAATTGTCTTGTTTCTAGGTGAACTGACCTATGATAATAATTGTCTTGTTTCTAGGTGAACTGACCTATGATAATAATTGTCTTGTTTCTAGGTGAACTGACCTATGATAATAATTGTCTTGTTTCTAGGTGAACTGCCCTGTGATAATAATTGTCTTGTTTCTAGGTGAACTGACCTATGATAATAATTGTCTTGTTTCTAGGTGAACTGACCTATTATAATAATTGTCTTGTTTCTAGGTGAACTGACCTATGATAATAATTGTCTTGTTTCTAGGTGAATTGACCTATGATATTAATTGTCTTGTTTCTAGGTGAACTGACCTATGATAATAATTTTCTTGTTTCTAGGTGAACTGAGCTATGATAATAACTGTCTTGTTTCTAGGTGAACGAGCAGGAGAAGAAGAGGAGGCTGAAGGACATCTACAGCCGGACAGACAGCAAGTCCATCATGAGGATGAAGAGTGGTCAGATGTTCGCTAGAGAGGACCTTCTCAGAGGGAGGAGCCTGCTGTATGATGGTCCTCTGCAGCTGAAGAACATACAGGGGAGACTGAAGGGTGAGGAGGATCCAACCATTCTCTTTCTTTCTCTATATTCAGACTCTCCTATGTTCTCTGTTGTGAGGAACACAAACACAAACACCAATCTCTTTTCTCAATTTTTTGACTCTCGCAAGCCAGTATCCATTTGTTTAAATGGTCTCTCAAGCTCTCTCTTTCCTGTCGCGGAAGCCATTGCAATAAGGAATTTGCATAGATGTTTTTTATGTAGTGTTTATGTACTTTCTGATCCCTTTGAATGTCTTTATTTTCTAACGTTTAAAGTGTCTTTTCCCTGACCTCTAACCTGGGCTCATTCTTCTTCTCTCTCCAGATGTAACGGCCGTGCTTCTCTCTGATATCTTCGTCTTCCTGCAGGAGAAAGACCAGAAATACGTCTTCGCCTCTCTGGTAGGTGATTGGTTTAGACCAGAAATATGTAATTATGTCTTTGGCTCTTTCATTGGCAAGATTAGCAAACGTAGGCATGACATGCCAGCAACAAACGCTGACACTACATATCCAAGTGACCAAATTCTGAAAGACAAGCATTGTAATTTTGAATTCCGTAAAATGAGTGTGGAAGTGGTGAAAAAAGTATTGTTGTCTATCAACAATGACAAGCCACTGAGGTCTGACAACTTCGATATAAAATTACTGAGGATAATAGCGGACGATATTGCCACTCCTAGTTGCCATATCTTCAATTTAAGCCTACTAGAAAGTGTGTGCCCTCAGGCCTGGAGGGAAGCAAAAGTCATTCTGCTACCTAAGAATAGTAAAGCCCCCTTTACTGGCTCAAATAGCCGACCAATCAGCCTGTTACCAACCCTTAGTAAACTTTTGTTTGACCAGATACAATGCTATTTTACAGTAAACAAATTGACAACAGACATTCAGCACGCTTATAGGGAAGGACATTCAACAAGCACTTACACAAATGACTGATGATTGGCTGAGATAAATTGATGATTAAAAATTTGTGGGGGCTGTTTTGTTAGACTTCAGTGCGGCTTTTGATATTATCGATCATAGTCTGTTGCTGGAAAAACATATACAGTGGGGAGAACAAGTATTTGATACACTGCCGATTTTTGCAGGTTTTCCTACTTACAAAGCATGTAGAGGTCTGTAATTTTTTATCATAGATACACTTCAACTGTGAGAGACGGAATCTAAAACAAAAATCCAGAAAATCACATTGTATGATTTTTTATTAATTAATTTGCACTTTATAGCATGACATAGCATGACATAAGTATTTAAGAATTCCGGCCCTCACAGACCTGTTAGTTTTTCTTTAAGAAGCCCTCCTGTTCTCCACTCATTACCTGGATTAACTGCACCGGTTTGAACTCTACAGCCTTTACGTCAGTAGCCCTGCCCCTGGTAAACAGGGGATCGTGGAGATGAGACAGGAGAAGAGAAGAGAGAGAGAGAGAGAGAGAGGCAGAGGGAGAGAGAAGAAAGAAGAAGAGACGATGAGAGAGAGAGAGAGCAGAGAGAGAGAGAGAGAGAGAGAGGAGAGGAGAGAGCGAGAGAGAGAGAGAGAGAGAGAGGAGAGAGGAGAGAGAAGAGAGAGAGAGAGAGAGAGCAGAAAGAGAAGAGAGAAGAGAGAAAGAGAGGAGAGAGAGAGAGAAGAGATAAAGAGAGAGAGCGAGAGAGAGAGAGAGAGAGAGAGGAGAGAGAGAGAGAGAGAGAGAGGAGAGGAAGAAGAGCGAGGAGAGCGAGGAGAGAGAGAGAGAGCGAGAGAGAGAGAGAGAGAGAGAGGAGAGAGCAGAAGAGAGAGAGAGAAAAGGACGGAGAAAAGAGCAAGAGAAGAGACAAGAGAGAGAGAGCAAGAGAAACGAGAAAAGAGGGAGAGAGAGAAAAGAGAAAGGCAAAAACAGAGACGAGAAGAGAGAAGAGAGAGAAAAGAGAGAAAAGAAGAGGAAGAGAGAAGAGAAGAGAGAAGAAAGAGAGAAGGGGAGATGAGAGAGAGATAGAGAGAGAGAGAGAGCAAGAGAGAGAGAGAGAGAGAAGAAGAGAGAGAGAGAGGAAAGAGAAGAGCGAGAGCGGAGAGGAGAGAGATAGAGAGCGAAGATGAGTCGAGAGAGAGGAAAAGAGAGAAAAAAGAGAGAAGAGAAGAGAAAAGAGAAAGAGAAGAGAGGAGAGAAAAGAGAGAAAGAGAGAGAGAGAGAGAAAGAGAGAGAGAGAGAGAAAAAAGAGAGAGAAAGAGAGAAAAGAAGAAAAGAGCTCTTAGAGTCAAAAGAGAATCCATCTCTCTCCCCTTCCAATAAGTCCGCTCTCCTACCTCACTCTCCCGTCTCTTCCTACCTTTGCCCCATCCTTTTATCTCCCTCCCTCTCTTCCATCCCCTCCTCTGTAGGACCAGCGCTCCACGGTCCTCTCCCTCCAGAAGCTGATCGTTAGAGAGATGGCTAACGAGGAGAGGGGTCTCTTCCTGATAACAGCAGGGATGGAGAAACCAGAGATGGTGGAAGTACACACTGCAACCAAGGAGGAACGCAACACCTGGATGCAACTCATACAGGATGCCATGCACTCCATGTAAGTCTGAACCCTGAACCATGGACCAAGAGAGAGAGAGAGAGAGAGAGAGAGAGAGACAGGGGAGAGAGAGAGAGAGAGACAGAGGGGAGCGAGAGAGAGGGGGGAGCGAGAGAGAGAGAGAGAGAATAAGCTACTTTTCTGTACCTGAGGATGGAGGAATGTACAGGATGTTGTAATGCTCTATCTGAGTATTGACTGTTCTCTCTATGGCTTCATCACCTCATGGGCAGGCTGGCACTGTACGCTACTCTACCCTCTGCTTTCTCAGTAGTAGAGAGAAGACTCTAGAAGACTCTAGAAGACTCTAGAAGACTCTAGAAAACTCTAGAAGACTCTAGAAGACTAGCGCTGTAAACAGAAGGCTTTTATAATAATAATAATAATATGCCATTTAGCAGACGCTTTTATCCAAAGCGACTTACAGTCATGTGCGCATACATTTTTACGTATGGGTGGTCCCGGGGATCGAACCCACTACCCTGGCGTTACAAGCGCCGTGCTCTACCAGCTGAGCTCTAGGATGCTAAGAGAATATGTGAATGTGTGGCTGGAAATGGGAGTGGTAATCATGACTCTGGTTTGTACTAATGATGTTGCTTTACAGAGAGAAATATGAGGATGAGGGGATCCCCAGCGAGACAGAGGAGGACAAGAGACTGCTGGAGACCAAAGCTAAGGAGATGAGAGGTGAGGAGACTCCTTGGAGTGTGTTTCATATCAAATGTTATTTGTCACATGCTTCGTAGACAACAGGTGTAGACTGACAGTGAAAATCTTACTTATGGGTCCTTCCTAACAACGCAGAGAGAAAAATATAAATAATTGAAAAATAAGAACACAAGGAATAAATACACAATGAGTAACGATAACTTGGCTATAGACACTGGGTACCAGTACTGAGTCAATGATAACATGGTTATATACACAGGGTACCAGTACTGAGTCAATGATAACATGGTTATATACAGGGGGTACCAGTACTGAGTCAATGATAACATGGCTATATACACTGGGTACCAGTACTGAGTCAATTGATAACATGGTTATATACACTGGGGTACCAGTACTGAGTCAATGATAACATGGCTATATACACTGGGGTACCAGTACTGAGTCAATGATAACTGCTATATACACTGGGTACCAGTACTGGTCAATGATAACAGGGTTATATACCATGGGTACCAGTGACTGAGTCAATGATAACAGGTTAATACACTGGGGTACCAGTACTGAGTATCAATGATAACATGGCTATATACACTGGGTACCAGTACTGAGTCAATGATAACATGGTTATTATACAATGGGTACCAGTACTGAGTCAATGATAACATGGCTTTATACAGGGGGTACCAGTACTGAGTCAATGATAACATGACTATATACACTGGGTACCAGTACTGAGTCAATGATAACATGGTTATATACACTGGGTACCAGTACTGAGTCAATGATAACATGACTATATACACTGGGTACCAGTACTGAGTCAATGATAACATGGCTATATACACTGGGTACCAGTACATCAACTGAAAGTTGACAAACTATTAGAATTTAAGCAACCAGGAAGTGGCGGAGCGATTTCTGCATAGTGCATCACTAACCTGTTTAAAGGTCTTACTCACATCGGCCTCGGAGCGAAATCACACGGTCGTCCAGAACAGCTGCTGCTCTCATACATTGTTCAGTGTTGCTTGCCTCGAAGCGAGCATAGAAGGAATTTAGCTCGTCTGGTATGATTTTTTTTAAACACTTTTTTTAAGGTGTTTTTTTCTTGTTCTTTTTATGATCTTTTTTAATATTAACCCATCCACCCTCTTCAGAGGACACATATGTTTTTTTGTTTTTACAGCTTTTCTGCTACATATACAGTACCAGTCAAAAGTCTGGACACACCTACTCATTCAAGGGTTTTTCTTTATTTTTTCAATTTGTTACAATGTAAAATAATAGTGAAGACATCAAAACTATGAAATAACAGATATGGAACAGTAACAATACCTCATCTCCCCTCCAGAGATGCTGAGGAGGAAGGATGAGCAGATCGTGTGTCTGCTGGAGGAGAAGATAGCAGTGTTTAGGGAGATGTGTGAGGTTGGGAGCCCTGTAACCCACCCAGGAACAGGAACAGGAACAGGCCCAGCAGAGGAGCAGGGACAGGGCCCCAGCCGGGTCACCAGGACCAAGGTGCTGTTCAGGGCTGGGAGAGGAGCGGGCTCTGAGGACGTACCTAAAGGAGAACCCATCATAAAGGATGCACTACAGGAAGGTTAGTAGACAGCCTCTCACCATAAATGTAACAATACCCCATCTAATGGGAACCAGGGGTGGAAGCCAGACTGTGGACATGGTGTATTAAATAATAATAATAAATAATATGCCATTTAGCAGACGCTTTTATCTAAAGCGACTTACAGTCATGTGTGCATACATTTTTTGTGTATGGGTGGTCCAGGGGATCGAACCCACTACCCTGGCGTTACAAGCGCCATGCTCTACCAATTGAGCTACAGAGGACCACCAATGCCACTTTAACTTTCACTGTGTTCTGAATCTATCAGATGTTCTCCTCTGATGTCTGCCTATACAAAGGGCGTACTGGGAAGGTTGATTGCAATGAGTGTTTGTGTTTTGTGATTTAGATTAGAATATATTGGTGCAAACATTAAAACACTGTTTATCCTTGTAACGTTAATATTTCTTAAGTTTGTTGTATCGGTCAAAGAAAGAGTAATGAATATTATATTAATATTATTATATTATTATTATAATTTGGTTAGTGAAATTCTGTATGCACCCACCCACCGCATATTCTCTCTCTCCTCTCCTCCTCCTATTTCGGGTCTCTCTCTCTCCCCCTCTCTATCTATAGCTCTCTCTACACACTCATATTGGTATCTCCCTTGCTATTGGGTTTATCTCTCTACGATAGCAACATCATCCATATCTGTGTGCTATTTTCCTATCTCTCTTTCTCTCTATGACTCACCACTACCACTGGCAAAAGCAAGGAGAAGCCACAATAAAAAGGCCGGAGAAAACCTCTAGAGGCTCTCACAAAAACCACATTCACTCAACCTCTCCCACCACCCCCCCACTCATCTCCTCCCCACCCACCCTCCTTCTATATCTCCCCCTCCCCTCTCTCTCTCTCTTTCTGTCTCCCCCCTCTCTCTATCTTTCTCTCTCTCCCCCTCACCTCTCTCTCTCTCTCTCTCTCTCTCTCTCTCTGTGACAGTGGCGACGTTGCAGGCTTTGGTGAACGGTAGTCTGGGAGGAGCCATGGGGGGGCAGCAGGTGATGTCTGTCCCAGAGACAGGAGGAGGAGGAGGAGGAGGAGGAGTGGTGGGGCCGTGCCCCGTGTGTCTGCCTCGCAGGGCCGAGACCTTCGGAGGCTTTGACTCTCACCAGATACACATCTCTAAGAGTAAGACACCTCCCTGTCATTACCAAGGGTTGAGAAGCCCTATCATGTCAGTAATGGAGTTTAAGATTAAAGATGGATCCCTTTAACTAAGAGCTTCCATTCGATCAGTTTGACCTCATTCTCAAGCCTTGATATTTTGTGTCACTGGTGTAAACGCTGTGCTACAGGTCTTCTATATATCTGTGCTGATGAGTGTCTTGTGTTTTATAGATGGGGACAAAGAGGAGGGAGAGGTCACAGCAGACCTTCGCAGGACAGAGTCAGACGGTGTACTAAAGAAGGTTACCCACAATACACCAAGCCATAGCTAACAGGAAACCAGCTTGTGGTTCTCAATACACCAAGCCATAGCTAACAGGAAACCAGCTTGTGGTTCTCAATACACCAAGCCATAGCTGACAGGATACCAGCTTGTGGTTCACAATACACCAAGCCATAGCTAACAGGAAACCAGCTTGTGGTTCTCAATACACCAAGCCATAGCTAACAGGAAACCAGCTTGTGGTTCTCAATACACCAAGCCATAGCTAACAGGATACCAGCTTGTGGTTCTCAATACACCAAGCCATAGCTAACAGGAAACCAGCTTGTGGTCCACAATACACCAAGCCATAGCTAACAGGAAACCAGCTTGTGGTTCTCAATACACCAAGCCATAGCTAACAGGAAACCAGCTTGTGGTCCACAATACACCAAGCCATAGCTAACAGGAAACCAGCTTGTGGTTCACAATACACCAAGCCATAGCTAACAGGAAACCAGCTTGTGGTTCTCAATACACCAAGCCATAGCTAACAGGAAACCAGCTTGTGGTTCTCAATACACCAAGCCATAGCTAACAGGAAACCAGCTTGTGGTTCTCAATACACCAAGCCATAGCTAACAGGAAACCAGCTTGTGGTTCTCAATACACCAAGCCATAGCTAACAGGAAACCAGCTTGTGGTTCTCAATACACCAAGCCATAGCTAACAGGAAACCAGCTTGTGGTTCTCAATACACCAAGCCATAGCTAACAGGAAACCAGCTTGTGGTTCACAATACACCAAGCCATAGCTAACAGGAAACCAGCTTGTGGTTCTCAATACACCAAGCCATAGCTAACAGGAAACCAGCTTGTGGTTCTCAATACACCAAGCCATAGCTAACAGGATACCAGCTTGTGGTTCTCAATACACCAAGCCATAGCTGACAGGATACCAGCTTGTGGTTCTCAATACACCAAGCCATAGCTAACAGGATACCAGCTTGTGGTTCACAATACACCAAGCCATAGCTAACAGGAAACCAGCTTGTGGTTCTCAATACACCAAGCCATAGCTAACAGGAAACCAGCTTGTGGTTCTCAATACACCAAGCCATAGCTAACAGGAAACCAGCTTGTGGTTCTCAATACACCAAGCCATAGCTAACAGGAAACCAGCTTGTGGTTCTCAATACACCAAGCCATAGCTAACAGGAAACCAGCTTGTGGTTCTCAATACACCAAGCCATAGCTAACAGGAAACCAGCTTGTGGTTCTCAATACACCAAGCCATAGCTAACAGGAAACCAGCTTGTGGTTCACAATACACCAAGCCATAGCTAACAGGAAACCAGCTTGTGGTTCTCAATACACCAAGCCATAGCTAACAGGAAACCAGCTTGTGGTTCTCAATACACCAAGCCATAGCTAACAGGATACCAGCTTGTGGTTCTCAATACACCAAGCCATAGCTGACAGGATACCAGCTTGTGGTTCTCAATACACCAAGCCATAGCTAACAGGATACCAGCTTGTGGTTCACAATACACCAAGCCATAGCTAACAGGAAACCAGCTTGTGGTTCTCAATACACCAAGCCATAACTAACAGGAAACCAGCTTGTGGTTCTCAATACACCAAGCCATAGCTAACAGGAAACCAGCTTGTGGTTCTCAATACACCAAGCCATAGCTAACAGGAAACCAGCTTGTGGTTCTCAATACACCAAGCCATAGCTAACAGGAAACCAGCTACACTTTTAGAAAAAGGTTTTCCGAAAGGGTTCTTCAGTTGTCCCCATAGGGAGAACCCTTTTTGGTTCCAATTAGAACCCTCTGTGAAAAGGGTTCTACATGGAACCCAAACAGGTTCTACAGTAGGTATCCTGTGTGTGTGTGTGTGTGTTTGTGTGTGTGTGTGTGTGTGTGTGTGTGTGTGTGTGTGTGTGCGTGCGTTGCGTGTTTGCGTGTGTGTGTGTGGTGTGTGTGTGTGTGTGTGTGTGTGTGTGTGTGTGTGTGTGTGTGTGTGTGTGTGTGTGTGGTTGGTTATGTTGAGGCTCTGAGGCCATGTGTATGACCAGGAAGGGGTTGTGTCCTTACAGTTCCGTACATAGAACTCATTACATCATTACATCATTAAAGTATTTTACATGAACATAGTCATTAGGATGCATTTAGCTGTCTCTGCTATGAATTAGCCGAGGGACTCTTCCTGCCAAGCCCATATCTAATACAGAACCCTTAATAACACAGGACATTGGCTGTGTAATAATGTCCCTAATATGATGATTACTGTGGTGTCTTCCCAGCCAATGGGGATAGCTCCAACACACACACACACACACACACACACACACACACACACACACACACACCCACAGCCCTGTCCTGTCCTGTCCTGTCCTGTGGTCAGTAATGCTGGAGCTTTGTGTTGTTCTCAGGGGGGGAATGCTAACCTGCTGCTGTTCCTGAAGAGAAGCAGAGAGGTAAGAAAGAGATCTGACCAGAACACCACATAAATATACACCCCAGGACCCCAGGACCCAGGACTCAGGACCCAGGACCCAGACCCCAGGACCCAGGACCCCAGGACCCCAGACCCCAGACCCCAGGACCCCAGACCCCAGGACCCAGACCCCAGACCCAGACCCTAGCCCCCAGGACCCAGACCCCAGGACCCAGACCCCAGGACCCAGACCCCAGGACCCAGCCCCTAGCCCCCAGGACCCAGGACCCAGGACCCAGGACCCCAGGACCCAGACCCCAGGACCCAGCCCCTAGCCCCCAGGACCCAGACCCCAGGACCCCAGGACCCAGACCCCAGGACCCCAGGACCCCAGACCCAGGACCCAGGACCCCAGGACCCAGACCCAAGACCCCAGGACCCAGGACCCAGACCCCAGACCCCAGGACCAGACCCAGGACCCAGACCCCAGGACCCAGACCCCAGGACCCCAGGACCCCAGGACCCAGGACCCCAGGACCCAGGACCCCAGGACCCAGGACCCAGACCCCAGGACCCAGGACCCAGACCCCAGGACCCAGGACCCCAGACCCCAGGGACCCAGACCCCAGACCCCAGGACCAGACCCAGACCCCAGGACCCAGGACCCAGTCCCCAGGACCCTAGGACCCAGGACCAGACCCAGACCCCAGGACCCAGACCCCAGGACCCAGGACCCAGACCCCAGGACCCAGACCCAGACCCCAGGACCAGACCCAGACCCCAGGACCCAGTCCCCAGGACCCCAGGACCCAGGACCAGACCCAGACCCCAGGACCAGACCCCAGGAACCCAGGACCCAGACCCAGGACCCAGACCCCAGAACCCCAGGACCAGACCCAGACCCCAGGACCCAGACCCCAGGACCCAGGACCCAGACCCCAGGACCCAGGACCCAGACCCCAGACCCCAGGACCCCAGGACCCAGACCCAGGACCCAGGACCCAGACCCCAGGACCCAGACCCCAGACCCCAGGACCAGACCCAGACCCCAGGACCCAGAACCAGACCCAGGACCCAGGGACCCAGGACCCCAGACCCCAGGACCAGGACCCAGGACCCAACCCAGGACCCAGGACCCAGACCCCAGGACCCAGACCCCAGACCCCAGGACCAGACCCAGACCCCAGGACCCAGACCCCAGGACCCCAGACCCCAGACCCCAGGACCCAGACCCCAGACCCCAGGACCAGACCCAGACCCCAGACCCCAGGACCCCATGACCCAGACCCCAGACCCCAGACCCCAGGCCCCAGACCCCAGGACCCAGACCCCAGGACCCCATGACCCAGACCCCAGGACCCCAGACCCCAGGACCCAGACCCCAGGACCCCAGGACCCAGGACCCAGACCCCAGGACCCAGACCCCAGGACCCAGACCCCAGACCCCAGGACCCAGACCCCAGACCCTAGACCCCAGACCCCAGGACCCAGGACCCAGACCCAGACCCCAGGACCCAGGCCCCAGACCCCAGACCCAGCACATAAATGTATAGCACTGTAGTACAATAGGCCAGACCCAGCAGCTAACAACTGGACTGCATTTTGGTCTCAATAAATTTCTAATGATTTATTTTCACTGTAAACATACCATATTGTATATAATGAAGTAAGAGTATTCCTTTCTGTTGGCCAATGTGTGTTGTCTTCTAGCAGGTCCTCCACAGTGTGAGCCACCTCTATGACCTGCTCAGCTCCCTGCAGGTCAGTGTGCTCCCCTGTACTCTCTCCTGGTGTCTTGGGACTAGCTGTATTGGACTTAACCAGAATAATCTGCCTGACTGTCAGTCTCTGTGGTATATCTGTCTCTGTGGTATATCTGTCTCTGTGGTATATCTATCTCTGTGGTATATCTGTCTCTGTGGTATATCAGTCTCTGTGGTATATCTGTCTCTGTGGTATATCTGTCTCTGGTATATCTGTCTCTGTGGTATATCTGTCTCTGGTATATCTGTCTCTGTGGTATATCAGTCTCTGTGGTATATCTGTCTCTGTGGTATATCAGTCTCTGTGGTATATCTGTCTCTGTGGTATATCTGTCTCTGTGTCCCTGCAGGCAGTGGTAGTCCAGCAGGACAGCTTAATTGAGGATCAGCGCCAGGCTCTCACCAACCGCTCCGAACGCCTCCCCTCCTTCTCCTCCTCCTCCTCCTCCTCCTCCCGTCCCTCCTCCCGCCCCAACTCCCTGATCGAGCAGGAGAAACAGCGCAGCCTGGAGAAACACAGACAGGAGATGGCCACGCTGCAGCGCCAGCAGGCCGCACACGACCAGGAGAAGAGGAGCAGGGAGAGGGAGTGGGAGGTGCAGGAGCAGCAGCTGACAGACAGGGAGGTGCGGCTCCTGGTGCAGGAAGAGGAGACGGGGAAGAGGAGCAGGGAGCTGGATACAGAGAGGATGGAGCTACAGGGGAAGAAGGAGGACTATCAGATAGATCTAGAGAGACTGAGAGACGCTCAGAGGAAACTGGACCGAGACACAGAACAGATCCACAGAGAAATGGAGAGGGGGAGAAACACAGGAGACGGCCGGAGGGAAGAGGGCGAGCGAGACGAGAAGAGAGAGCAGAGCGAGACGAGAAGAGAGAGCAGAGCGAGACGAGAAGAGAGAGCAGGCGAGACGAAGAGAGAGCAGAGCGAGACGAGAAGAGAGAGCAGAGCGAGACGAGAAGAGAGAGCAGAGCGAGACGAGAAGAGAGAGCAGAGCGAGACGAGAAGAGAGAGCAGAGCGAGACGAGACGAGAGAGCAGAGCGAGACGAGAAGAGAGAGCAGAGCGAGACGAGAAGAGAGAGCAGAGCGAGACGAGAAGAGAGAGCAGAGCGAGACGAGAAGAGAGAGCAGAGCGAGACGAGAAGAGAGAGCAGAGCGAGACGAGAAGAGAGAGCAGAGCGAGACGAGAAGAGAGGCAGAGCGAGACGAGAAGAGAGAGCAGAGCGAGACGAGAAGAGAGAGCAGAGCGAGACGAGAAGAGACAGCAGAGCGAACGAGAAGAGAGAGCAGAGCGAGACGAGAAGAGAGAGCAGAGGAGAGGAAAGAGAGAGCAGACGAGAGAGAGAGCAGAGCGAGACGAGAAGAGAGAGCAGAGCGAGACGAGAAGAGAGAGCAGAGCGAGACGAGAAGAGGAGAGCAGAGCGAGACGAGAAGAGGAGAGCAGAGCGAGACGAGAAGAGAGAGCAGAGGGAGGCAGAGACAGAGAGAGGAGAGAAGAGAGAGCAGAGAGACGAGAAAGAAGAGACGAGACAGAAGAGAGAGCAGAGCGAGACGAGAAGAGAGAGCAGAGCGAGACGAGAAGAGAGAGCAGAGCGAGACGAGAGAAGCAGACAGACGGAAGAGAGCAGAGCGAGACGAAGAGAGAGCAGAGCGAGACGACGAAGAGAGAGCAGAGCGAGACGAGAGAGAGAGAGCAGAGCGAGACGAGAAGAGAGAGCAGAGCGAGACGAGAAGAGAGAGACAGAGGACGAGAGAGAGGAGCAGAGCGAGACGAGAAGAGAAGAGACGAGAGAGAGAGCAGAGCGAGACGAGAGAGAGAGAGCGAGACGAGAAGGAGCGAGACGAGAAGAGAGAGCAGAGCGAGACGAGAAGAGAGAGCAGAGCGAGACGAGAAGAGAGAGCAGAGCGAGACGAAGAAGAGAGCAGAGAGAGAGAGAAGGAGAGAAGAGGCAGAGCAGAGAGAGAGAAGAAGCGAGAAGAGAACAGAGACGAGAAAGAGAGAGAGAATAGAGCATACTAGAAGAGAGGAGCATAAGAGATAGAGAAGAGAGCGAGAAGCGAGAGACGAGTACAGAAGAGAGAGCAGAGAGAACGAGAATAAGAGAAGCGATAGATAATAATAGAGATCTAACATAAAGATAGCATAGATACTAGATATAATATATAATATCGATAATATATTCATATACTATAGTATATATATCATATCTATACTATAATATATATCATATCTGTACTATAATATCTATACTATACTATCTACTATAATAGCTCTGTCGTAGCCGGCCGTGACCGGGAGACCCATGGGGCGGCGCACAATTGGCCCAGCGTCGTCCAGGGTAGGGGAGGGAATGGCCGGCGGGGATGTAGCTCAGTTGGTAGAGCATGGCGTTTGCAACGGCAGGATTGTGGGTTCGATTACCACGGGGGGCCAGTATGAAAAAATTAAAACAATTACAAATAATGTATGTACTCACTAACTGTAAGTCGCTCTGGATAAGAGCGTCTGCTAAATGACAAAAATTTAAAATATAATATCTACAGTGGGGGAAAAAAGTATTTAGTCAGCCACCAATTGTGCAAGTTCTCCCACTTAAAAAGATGAGAGAGGCCTGTAATTTTCATCATAGGTACCCGTCAACTATGACAGACAAATTGAGAATTATTTTTCCAGAAAATCACATTGTAGGATTTTTAATGAATTTATTTGCAAATGATGGTGGAAAATAAGTATTTGGTCACCTACAAACAAGCAATATTTCTGGCTCTCACAGACCTGTAACTTCTTCTTTAAGAGGCTCCTCTGTCCTCCACTCGTTACCTGTATTAATGGCACCTGTTTGAACTTGTTATCAGTATAAAAGACACCTGTCCACAACCTCAAACAGTCACACTCCAAACTCCACTATGGCCAAGACCAAAGAGCTGTCAAAGGACACCAGAAACAAAATTGTAGACCTGCACCAGGCTGGGAAGACTGAATCAGCAATAGGTAAGCAGCTTGGTTTGAAGAAATCAACTGTGGGAGCAATTATTAGGAAATGGAAGACATACAAGACCACTGATAATCTCCCTCGATCTGGGGCTCCACGCAAGATCTCACCCCGTGGGGTCAAAATGATCACAAGAACGGTGAGCAAAAATCCCAGAACCACACGGGGGGACCTAGTGAATGACCTGCAGAGAGCTGGGACCAAAGTAACAAAGCCTACCATCAGTAACACACTACGCCGCCAGGGACTCAAATCCTGCAGTGCCAGATGTGTCCCCCTGCTTAAGCCAGTACATGTCCAGGCCCGTCTGAAGTTTGCTAGAGTGCATTTGGATGATCCAGAAGAGGATTGGGAGAATGTCATATGGTCAGATGAAACCAAAATAGAACTTTTTGGTAAAAACTCAACTCGTCGTGTTTGGAGGACAAAGAATGCTGAGTTGCATCCAAAGAACACCATACCTACTGTGAAGCATGGGGGTGGAAACATCATGCTTTGGGGCTGTTTTTCTGCAAAGGGACCAGGACGACTGATCTGTGTAAAGGAAAGAATGAATGGGGCCATGTATCGTGAGATTTTGAGTGAAAACCTCCTTCCATCAGCAAGGGCATTGAAGATGAAACGTGGCTGGGTCTTTCAGCATGACAATGATCCCAAACAACACCGCCCGGGCAACGAAGGAGTGGCTTCGTAAGAAGCATTTCAAGGTCCTGGAGTGGCCTAGCCAGTCTCCAGATCTCAACCCCATAGAAAATCTTTGGAGGGAGTTGAAAGTCCGTGTTGCCCAGTGACAGCCCCAAAACATCACTGCTCTAGAGGAGATCTGCATGGAGGAATGGGCCAAAATACCAGCAACAGTGTGTGAAAACCTTGTGAAGACTTACAGAAAACGTTTGACCTGTGTCATTGCCAACAAATGGTATATAACAAAGTATTGAGAAACTTTTGTTATTGACCAAATACTTATTTTCCACCATAATTTGCAAATAAATTCATTAAAAATCCTACAATGTGATTTTCTGGAAAAGAAATTATCATTTTGTCTGTCATAGTTGACGTGTACCTATGATGAAAATTACAGGCCTCTCTCATCTTTTTAAGTGGGAGAACTTGCACAATTGGTGGCTGACTAAATACTTTTTTCCCCCACTGTATACTATACAGTGCATTCGGAAAGTATTCAGACCCCTTAACTTTTTCCACATTTTGTTACTTTACAGACTTATTCTAAAATTGATTAAATTGTTTTTTTCTCTCATCAATACCCCATAATGACAAAACATAAGTATTCAGACCCTTTACTCAGTACTTTGTTGAAGCACCTTTGGCAGCGATTACAGCCTCGAGTCGTCTTGGGTGTGACGCTACAAGCTTGGCACATCTGTATTTGGGGAGTTTCTCCCATTCTTCTCTGCAGATCCTCTCAAGCTCTGTCAGGTTGGATGGGGAGCGTCGCTGCACAGCTATTTTCAGGTCTCTCCAGAGATGTTAGATCGGGTTCAAGTCCGGGCTCTGGCTGGGCCACTCAAAGACATTCAGAGACTTGTCCCGAAGCCTCTCCTGCTTTGTCTTGGCTGTGTGCTTAGGGTCGTTGTCCTGTTGGAAGGGGAATCTTCGCCCCCAGTCTGAGGTCCTGAGCGCTCTGGAGCAGGTTTTCATCAAGGATCTCTCTGTACTTTGCTCTGTTCATCTTTCCCTCGGTCCTGACTAGTCAGGTTTCCTCCAGAGCGTGATGCTACCACCATCATGCTTCACCATAGGGATGGTGCCAAGAGGTTTCCTCTAGAAGTGACGCTTGGCATTCAGACCAAAGAGTTCAATCTTGGTTTCATCAGACTAGAGAATCTTGTTTCTCATGGTCTGAGAGTCTTTAGGTGCCTTTTGGCAAACTCCAAGCGGGCTGTCATGTGCCTTTTCCTGAGGAGTGTCTTCTGTCTGGCCACTCTACCATAAAGGCCTGATTGGTGGAGTGCTGCAGAGATGGTTGTCCTTCTGGAAAGGTTCTCTCATCTCCACAGAGGAACTCTGGTGCTCTGTCAGAGTGACCATCGGATTCTTGGTCACCTCCCTGACCAAGGCCCTTCTCTACCGATGGAGGCCACTATGTTCTTGGGGATCTTCAATGCTGCAGACATTTTTTGGTACCCTTCCCCAGATCTGTGGGGAGAACGGCTCATAAAAAATTGTCGGAACGGAGCTAATGGAATGGCATCACACATCTGGAAACAAAGTGTTTGATGTATTTGATACCATTCCACTAATTCCACTCCAGTCATTACCATGAACCCGTCCTCCCCAGTTAAGGTGCCACCAACCTCCTGCGATATCCATACCGTTGTCAAAGCTAAAATACCCCCTCTGCAAGATTAACGACTCAACTTGACCCTGCCTACCCAATGGCAGTTCAGTTATCCCTTGTCCTTAACCCCTACAGATCTGATAGATGCCGCTCTGCCTTGTCTACAGCTAGGTCCTGGTCCTCAGGACTCAACAGGAAGGGCCTTACAGTCTAGTGGGCTGAGCCTAGTGCTTATGCTGCCTCGCCCCGCCCCCAGCCTAGTGCTTATGCTGCCTCGCCCCGCCCCCAGCCTAGTGCTTATGCTGCCTCGCCCCGCCCCCTTCTATAAACCTGCCGCTTCCCCGGATCGTCCAGAACTTCCACTGTAGAGCACTATGACGGGGTGCCTTCTATAAACTGGGTTGGCTTGGCCCAGAATCACCCCTCTTCCAACTCCTACCAATGCACTCAGTACCTATAGTCGGGTCTCAGGTTCCTTTTACGCTGACTGAGTCCATCAGGAAGTGTATAGGAGATGTTGTACCCACTGTGACTATTAAAACCTACCCAAACCAGAAACCGTGGATAGATGGCAGCCTAGGCACACAAAACTGAAACCACCGCATTTAACCATGGCAAGGTGACTGGGAATATGGCCGAATACAAGCATTTAACCATGGCAAGGTGACTGGGAATATGGCCGAATACAAGCATTTAACCACGGCAAGGTGACTGGGAATATGGCCGAATACAAGCATTTAACCATGGCAAGGTGACTGGGAATATGGCCGAATACAAGCATTTAACCATGGCAAGGTGACTGGGAATATGGCCGAATACAAGCATTTAACCATGGCAAGGTGACTGGGAATATGGCCGAATACAAGCATTTAACCATGGCAAGGTGACTGGGAATATGGCCGAATACAAGCATTTAACCATGGCAAGGTGACTGGGAATATGGCCGAATACAAGCATTTAACCACGGCAAGGTGACTGGGAATATGGCCGAATACAAGCATTTAACCACGGCAAGGTGACTGGGAATATGGCCGAATACAAGCATTTAACCACGGCAAGGTGACTGGGAATATGGCCGAATACAAGCATTTAACCATGGCAAGGTGACTGGGAATATGGCCGAATACAAGCATTTAACCATGGCAAGGTGACTGGGAATATGGCCGAATACAAGCATTTAACCACGGCAAGGTGACTGGGAATATGGCCGAATACAAGCATTTAACCATGGCAAGGTGACTGGGAATATGGCCGAATACAAGCATTTAACCATGGCAAGGTGACTGGGAATATGGCCGAATACAAGCATTTAACCATGGCAAGGTGACTGGGAATATGGCCGAATACAAGCATTTAACCATGGCAAGGTGACTGGGAATATGGCCGAATACAAGCATTTAACCATGGCAAGGTGACTGGGAATATGGCCGAATACAAGCATTTAACCACGGCAAGGTGACTGGGAATATGGCCGAATACAAGCATTTAACCATGGCAAGGTGACTGGGAATATGGCCGAATACAAGCATTTAACCACGGCAAGGTGACTGGGAATATGGCCGAATACAAGCATTTAACCATGGCAAGGTGACTGGGAATATGGCCGAATACAAACTGGCAGGACTCTGATGACACAGGGTTTCAGAACAACAAAGCAGGACTCTGATGACACAGGGTTTCAGAACAACAAAGCAGGACTCTGATGACACAGGGTTTCAGAACAACAAAGCAGGACTCTGGGTTATTCTAGGTTAAACTATCATCATTATTACACATTGACACGTCTTACTTATTAGTCCAGTTACATCTTAAACATCCAACATTTTAAACATTTCATCATTATGACATTTCATCATTATGACATTTCAACATTATGACATTTCATCATTTTAACATTTCATCATTTGGTGGATGTATACTCTATATTCGTCCTGTAACAGAAGGGGGGCCAGTATAAAATAATATATGCACTCACTAACTGTAAGTCGCTCTGGATAAGAGCGTCTGCTAAATGACTAAAATCTAAAATGTAAAAGAAATGTGTGAACTGGAAATGTGTTTCTTGCATTTCCCAACTCCCCCTGAGACATCTGCAGGGAGTGGGGTCACGGCCAGGGTCACCATTGTCCAGGGAGTGGGGTCACGGCCAGGTAGTGGGGTCACGGCCAGGGAGTGGGGTCACGGCCAGGGAGTGGGGTCACGGCCAGGGAGTGGGGTCACGGCCAGGGAGTGGGGTCACGGCCAGGGAGTGGGGTCACGGCCAGGGAGTGGGGTCACGGCCAGGGAGTGGGGTCACGGCCAGGGAGTGGGGTCACGGCCAGGGAGTGGGATCACGGCCAGGGTCATTGTCCAGGGAGTGGGGTCACAGCCAGGGAGTGGGGTCACAGCCAGGGAGTGGGGTCACGGCCAGGGAGTGGGGTCACGGCCAGGGTCACCATTGTCCAGGGAGTGGGGTCACGGCCAGGGAGTGGGGTCACGGCCAGGGAGTGGGGTCACGGCCAGGGAGTGGGGTCACAGCCAGGGAGTGGGGTCACAGCCAGGGAGTGGGGTCACGGCCAGGGAGTGGGGTCACGGCCAGGGTCACCATTGTCCAGGGAGTGGGGTCACGGCCAGGGAGTGGGGTCACGGCCAGGGAGTGGGGTCACGGCCAGGGTCATTGTCCAGGGAGTGGGGTCACGGCCAGGGAGTGGGGTCACGGCCAGGGAGTGGGGTCACGGCCAGGGAGTGGGGGTCACGGCCAGGGAGTGGGGTCACAGCCAGGGAGTGGGGTCACGGCCAGGGAGTGGGGTCACGGCCAGGGTCACCATTGTCCAGGGAGTGGGGTCACGGCCAGGGAGTGGGGTCACGGCCAGGGAGTGGGGTCACGGCTAGGGAGTGGGGTCACGGTCAGGGTCACCATTGTCCAGGGAGTGGGGTCATGGCCAGGGAGTGGGGTCACGGCCAGGGAGTGGGGTCACGGCCAGGGAGTGGAGTCACGGCCAGGGAGTGGAGTCACGGTCAGGGTCACCATTGTCCAGTACCCCTGGAGAGATTGGTTAGGTGCGTTGCTCAAAGGAACAGTTACAGTCTTTCCACCTTGTCGGCTCCAGGATTCAAACCAGTGACATTTCGGTTACTGGCCCAATGCACTAACCTCGAGGGTACCTGCCGCCCTGATATGATACTATATTATCTGAATAGAACTACCTCTAGCTCTAACATTACCCACCATCATTATAATGTTTATATAACGTAATATAATACCATATCATATTTATAACCCCTCCTCCTGTCTTCTCCAACAGAAATGGATACAGAGAACTCCCTCCTCCACCTCAGACGACTCCCCCCACTTCTCCTCCTCTAACTCCCTGGACAAAGACCCAGGAGACCCCACAGAGCTCTCCTCCTCCCTCAGGAAAGACTCCCTGACCTCGTCAAAAGGGCAGAGCCTAAACCCTTTCTCTGTGTCCCCGGCAATAAAGGCCCCTAGAGGAGACAGGCAGGACCAGACACCTAACAGACTGCTGCAGCTGGCTAAAGGAAGCAACACAGACAAGAAGAAGGAGGAGGAAGAGGAGACACAGTCAGCAGGTATAACTACAGTACAGTGTAGAGTCAGGGAGGACAGTCAGCAGTATAACTACAGTGTAGAGACAGGAGACGGGGAGGACAGTCAGCAGGTATAACTACAGTACAGGTAGAGTCAGGGAGGACGTCAGGAGACAGTCAGAGGAGTACAGTAGAGACAGGGAGGGAGAGGACAGTCAGCAGAAATACAGTCAGTGTAGAGCAGGGAGACGTCTAGTACAGTGTGAGACAGGGAGGACAGTCAGGTAGTCAGACAGGTACAGAGAAGGACAGTCAGGGAGGACAGTCAGCAGGTATAACACAGTACAGGTGTAGAGACAAGGGAGGACAGTCAGGGAGGACAGTCAGCAGGTATAACTACAGTACAGTGTAGAGACAGGGAGGACGGTCAGCAGGTATAACTACAGTACAGTGTTGAGACAGGGAGGACAGTCAGGGAGGACAGTCAGCAGGTATAAATACAGTACAGTGTAGAGTCAGGGAGGACAGTCAGGGAGGACAGTCAGCAGGTATAACTACAGTACAGTGTAGAGACAGGGAGGACAGTCAGGGAGGACAGTCAGCAGGTATAACTACAGTACAGTGTAGAGACAGGGAGGACAGTCAGCAGGTATAACTATAGTACAGTGTAGAGACAGGGAGGACAGTCAGGGAGGACAGTCAGCAGGTATAACTACAGTACAGTGTTGAGACAGGGAGGACAGTCAGGGAGGACAGTCAGGGAGAACAGTCAGGGAGGACAGTCAGCAGGTATAACTACAGTACAGTGTAGAGACAGGGAGGACAGTCAGGGAGGACAGTCAGCAGGTATAACTACAGTACAGTGTAGAGACAGGGAGGACAGTCAGGGAGGACAGTCAGCAGGTATAACTACAGTACAGTGTAGAGACAGGGAGGACAGTCAGGGAGGACAGTCAGCGGGTATAACTACAGTACAGTGTAGAGACAGGGAGGACAGTCAGGGAGGACAGTCAGCAGGTATAACTACAGTACAGTGTAGAGACAGGGAGGACAGTCAGGGAGGACAGTCAGCAGGTATAACTACAGTACAGTGTAGAGACAGGGAGGACAGTCAGGGAGGACAGTCAGCGGGTATAACTACAGTACAGTGTAGAGACAGGGAGGACAGTCAGGGAGGACAGTCAGCAGGTATAACTACAGGACAGTGTAGAGACAGGGAGGACAGTCAGGGAGGACAGTCAGCAGGTATAACTACAGTACAGTGTAGAGACAGGGAGGACAGTCAGGGAGGACAGTCAGCAGGTATAAACTACAGTACAGTGTAGAGACAGGGAGGACAGTCAGCGGGTATAAATACAGTACAGTGTAGAGACAGGGAGGACAGTCAGGGAGGACAGTCAGCAGGTATAACTACAGTACAGTACATATAAAGCATTAGAATTGTTTTGAGATCCCAATCCAGTCCAGTTATTGGCTGTTGGGTCTGTGGCCTGGGAAATTCTACTACAGTATATGTATGTGCTGGTGCTGGGATATGGGGGTTTCCAAATGAATGACAAATAAAAAACTAAGTAGTCTTCATTGTGTATGTCTTCACACCCAGAGTTAGTACTTGGTGGAATCACCTTGGGCAGACATTTGAGTACGGTACTGCCATCTGTGCGTTACTCTTTGGGCAACATTTATACATTGTTTTTGTTAAAATTGCTCATATCATATTCTGCCCCTGACAAAAAAACATGTTTTTGTTTTGGGCAGCAAAATGTGAAGACTGTGCAAGGGGTGTGTAGACTTTCACTAGGCACTGTAAATATGAAAGGGGTGTGATTGTAATCTGTTTCTCTATTTGTCTCCATAGATACCCAGCACCTAGATCCTCCTATAGATGGAGAGATCTACTTCTGCTGAGGAGACTCCTCTTCATCTCCTCCCCTCCTCCTCCTCCTCCTCGTCTCCCAGATGGCAATGCAACATCCCTCTCACCAGCTGAATGTAAGGCCAGGTTGCCAAAGTGCCCAATCCTCAACCCACTACGTCCTCAAACACACACCCTCCCAACTGACACAAAAGGAAGTGGAAGGTCTCCCATCGTATGAGTCATAAGCTCCATGTGCAATGTTCTGTCTCAGTGCTCACTACAGATTGGCTCCTGACTGTTACCTGCTGAAAGATTGTCTATAGCAATAAGGATACTGCCTCTATGTTAGATACTCTAGGTTAAAGGTTGTCTATAGCAATAAGGATACTGCCTCTATGTTAGATACTCTAGGTTAAAGGTTGTCTATAGCAATAAGGATACTGCCTCTATGTTAGATACTCTAGGTTAAGGTTGTCTATAGCAATAAGGATACTGCCTCTATGTTAGATACTCTAGGTTAAAGGTTGTCTATAGCAATAAGGATACTGCCTCTATGTTAGATACTCTAGGTTAAAGGTTGTCTATAGCAATAAGGATACTGCCTCTATGTTAGATACTCTAGGTTAAAGGTTGTCTATAGCAATAAGGATACTGCCTCTATGTTAGATACTCTAGGTTAAAGGTTGTCTATAGCAATAAGGATACTGCCTCTATGTTAGATACTCTAGGTTAAAGGTTGTCTATAGCAATAAGGATACTGCCTCTATGTTACATACTCTAGGTTAAAGGTTGTCTATAGCAATAAGGATACTGCCTCTATGTTAGATACTCTAGGTTAAAGGTTGTCTATAGCAATAAGGATACTGCCTCTATGTTAGATACTCTAGGTTAAAGGTTGTCTATAGCAATAAGGAAACTGCCTCTATGTTAGATACTCTAGGTTAAAGGTTGTCTATAGCAATAAGGATACTGCCTCTATGTTAGATACTCTAGGTTAAAGGTTGTCTATAGCAATAAGATACTGCCTCTATGTTAGATACTCTAGGTTAAAGGTTGTCTATAGCAATAAGGATACTGCCTCTATGTTAGATACTCTAGGTTAAAGGTTGTCTATAGCAATAAGGAAACTGCCATCCCCTCCTCCCTTCTCCAGACCATCTCCGGTGACCTTCTCCCCTACCTCACCTCGCTGATCAACTCATCCTTGACCGCTGGCCATGTCCCTTCCGTCTTCAAGAGAGCGAGAGTTGCTCCCCTCCTCAAAAAACCAACACTCGACCCCACTGATGTCAACAACTACAGAACCAGTATCCCTTCTTTCTTTTCTTTCCAAAACTATTGAGCGTGCCGTCTTTAGCCAACTCTCTTGCTATCTCTCTCAGAATGACCTTCTTGATCCAAACCAATCAGGTTTCAGGACTGGTCATTCAACTGAGACTGCTCTTCTCTGTGTCACGGAGACTCTCCGCACTGCTAAAGCTAACTCTCTCTCCTCTGCTCTTGTCCTTCTAGACCTGTCTGCTGCCTTTGATACTGTGAACCATCAGATCCTCCTCTCCACCCTCTCCGAGATGGGCATCTCCGGCGCGGCTCACTCCTGGATTGCGTCCTACCTGACCGGTCGCTCCTACCAAGTGGCGTGGCGGGAAGCTGTCTCCGCACCACGTGCTCTCACCACTGGTGTCCCCCAGGGATCGGTTCTGGGCCCTCTCCTTTTCTCCCTATACACCAAGTCACTTGGCTCTGTCATATCCTCACATGGTCTCTCCTATCATTGCTACGCTGACGATACACAACTAATCTTCTCCTTTCCCCCTTCTGATAACCAGGTGGCGAATCGCATCTCTGCATGTCTGGCAGACATATCAGTATGGATGACGGATCACCACCTCAAGCTGAACCCTGGCAAGACGGAGCTGCTCTTCCTCCCGGGGAAGGACTGCCCGTTCCATGATCTCGCCATCACGGTTGACAACTCCGCTGTGTCCTCCTCCCAGAGTGCGAAGAGCCTAGGCGTGACCCTGGACAACACCCTGTCGTTCTCCGCCAACATCAAGGCGGTGACCCGCTCCTGCAGGTTCATGCTCTACAACATTCGGAGAGTGCGACCCTGCCTTACACAGGAAGCGGCGCAGGTCCTGGTCCAGGCACTTGTCATCTCCCGTCTGGACTACTGCAACTCGCTGTTGGCTGGGCTCCCTGCCTGTGCCATTAAAACCCCTACAACTCATCCAGAATGCCGCAGCCCGTCTGGTGTTCAACCTTCCCAAGTTCTCTCACGTCACCCCCCTCCTCCGCACACTCCACTGGCTTCCAGTTGAAGCTCGCATCCGCTACAAGACCATGGTGCTTGCCTATGGAGCAGTGAGGGGAACGGCACCTCTGTACCTTCAGGGTCTGATCAGTCCCTACACCCAAACGAGGACATTGCGTTCATCCACCTCTGGCCTGCTGGCTCCCCTTCCTCTGCGGAAGGAAACTGCCCTCTTATTTAGCTACTCTAGGTTTAAAGGTTGTCTATTAGCAATTAAGGATTACTGCCTCTATGTTAGATACTCTAGGTTAAAGGTTTGTTCTATAGCAATAAGGATTACTGCCTCTTGTTAGATACTCTAGGTTAAAGGTTGTCTATAGCAATAAGGATACTGCCTCTATGTTAGATACTCTAGGTTAAAGGTTGTCTATAGCAATAAGGAAACTGCCTCTATGTTAGATACTCTAGGTTAAAGGTTGTCTATAGCAATAAGGATACTGCCTCTATGTTACATACTCTAGGTTAAAGGTTGTCTATAGCAATAAGGATACTGCCTCTATGTTAGATACTCTAGGTTAAAGGTTGTCTATAGCAATAAGGATACTGCCTCTATGTTAGATACTCTAGGTTAAAGGTTGTCTATAGCAATAAGGAAACTGCCTCTATGTTAGATACTCTAGGTTAAAGGTTGTCTATAGCAATAAGGATACTGCCTCTATGTTACATACTCTAGGTTAAAGGTTGTCTATAGCAATAAGGATACTGCCTCTATGTTAGATACTCTAGGTTAAAGGTTGTCTATAGCAATAAGGATACTGCCTCTATGTTAGATACTCTAGGTTAAAGGTTGTCTATAGCAATAAGGATACTGCCTCTATGTTAGATACTCTAGGTTAAAGGTTGTCTATAGCAATAAGGATACTGCCTCTATGTTAGATACTCTAGGTTAAAGGTTGTCTATAGCAATAAGGATACTGCCTCTATGTTAGATACTCTAGGTTAAAGGTTGTCTATAGCAATAAGGATACTGCCTCTATGTTAGATACTCTAGGTTAAAGGTTGTCTATAGCAATAAGGATACTGCCTCTATGTTAGATACTCTAGGTTAAAGGTTGTCTATAGCAATAAGGATACTGCCTCTATGTTAGATACTCTAGGTTAAAGGTTGTCTATAGCAATAAGGATACTGCCTCTATGTTAGATACTCTAGGTTAAAGGTTGTCTATAGCAATAAGGATACTGCCTCTATGTTAGATACTGTAGGTTAAAGGTTGTCTATAGCAATAAGGATACTGCCTCTATGTTAGATACTCTAGGTTAAAGGTTGTCTATAGCAATAAGGATACTGCCTCTATGTTACATACTGTAGGGATGTGATGGACTAAATTAATACAATACCATTCTCCTAACTCTACCAATGATGATGGAGAGTGGTTTGAGCTACATAGTAATGGTCTCTGAGTGGTTTTAAATGTGGTCGTCTGTCCTCGAAGCTGATGTGACCGGGTCTAAGGAGTCTGTCTGTCCTCTGGATGGAATGACATATCATCTTACTACTCATGCAGAATACTAAACTCCTACAAGCTGAAAAACGGGTTCATAAAAGTCTTGAAGATTCTAGCAAGATGACCTACATTTAGTGATATAATGTAGATACACAGAGTAGAAGAGATACCAAGTTATACTGAGTTTCTCCTGGTCAATTCTCCAGAGATTGGGGGAAAACATCGCTCCTGATGTGCTTGATATGATGCAATAATCTCAATAAGTACAATTTACATGTGATGCTATTGATCACTTTAAAAATCATTTCTGGTACATGTCCAATACTGCTTTGAATTGACAATCTATAATCAATATGTAGTTTATCCAGATCAGTCTATCTTTATGGTGCAGCTACGGTGGGAAACACAATGTTGTTACTAATCCCAGAAGACCCGGAGAATACTCAAAGACTTAGACTGATATCAGCTGATCATCGACATGGTTCAAACTGTTCAAAAGCCACTTGTTACTTTGAATATCAGAAACTAGCAGGAAGGCTGAAACAGGACATGGTGTATATATTTGAACAGCATTATGTTTTTATGTCTTTAAATGAGACTTCTACCTGCAGAACAGGTATATTAAACCCCAACATAACAACAGCTCCAATCATGACCTACGTCAGAAGTGTGGTCCTCTGTAGCTCAATTGGTAGAGCATGGCGCTTGTAACGCCAGGGTAGTGGGTTCGATCCCCCGGGACCACCCATACGTAAAAATGTATGCACACATGTCTGTAAGTCGCTTTGGATAAAAGAGTCTGCTAAATGGCTTATTATTATTATTTATTATTAAGTGGGATGCAAACGATTGTACTAATCAAATCGAATCAAATCAAATGTTATTTGTCACTTGCGCCGAATACAACAGGTACCTTACAGTGAAATGCTTACTTACAGCCCTTAACCAACAATGCCGTTTTAAGAAAAAGTAAAAAATAGATAAGTAAAAAATAGCAACAATAACATAACAATAGCGAGGCTATATACAGGGGGTACCGGAACAGAGGCTATATACAGGCTATATACAGGGGGTAGCGGTACAGAGGCTATATACAGGCTATATACAGGGGGTAGCGGTACAGAGGCTATATACAGGGGGTACCGGTACAGAGGCTATATACAGGGGGTACCGGTACAGAGGCTATATACAGGGGGGGGTACCGGTACAGAGGCTATATACAGGCTATATACAGGGGGGTACCGGTACAGAGGCTATATACAGGCTATATACAGGGGGTACCGGTACAGGGGCTATATACAGGCTATATACAGGGGGTACCGGTACAGAGGCTATATACAGGGGGGGGGTACCGGTACAGAGGCTATATACAGG